GATTAACCATGCTTCTCATAGGATGTTACTCTTAAGCTAAATTACTCAATTAAACTCAAACACTCCTATTAAAAAGAAGCAAAATATCTAGATTTCATTTATCAAAGAGTAAAACAAACATGAGAGTAGTCATTAACAAAACATACAGTCAGTAAAGCCTCCCAACAGGTTATCCTTCCATATTCCTTATGAGGGTCAAGTCATCCAATTAGTTAAATTTTTTTAGTTTAAGCTTTAAAGTTATATTCTAATAGTTATAAATTATCTCAAGGCTATGTTGTAAACTCATGAAGAAAGTGAAGAAAAAGAAAAAACTAAACAAGCCTTTATTAACTTCCAATTCCCTTCTTTGTGCATGAGTTGCTCTGCCTCCTTAGGAATACTGAGCTCAGAGAATACAGATAGAATATAAGAAACATCACTACTGATATCACCAGTAACTAAAAGTTTATTGAATGCTTACTGTGTTCAAGGCACTTTGAGGGATGAAAAGAGGAGTAAAACATAAAGTTTTAAATGGCAAAAAATTATTTTATAATTTTGATTTAATTATAATTTTATAATTTTCTTTTTTATGGTTGATGAGAAATCAACTTCTCCTATAATTACTAATATAGATGGCAACATTTCAAATATGAAGGCAATGTTTTGGAACAGAAATCCTCCTTGATTTCCAAGGTTATATCCAAATTCAAAGGCTATTTCTAACAGAACTGGGTCTCACCTTTTACCTCCCACCCTATCCCATGCCCAGAGAGTAAGGTACCAGAGAGCAGTGCCAGTTCAGGAGACAACTGGCCTTTTGGAATAGTTTCTGCTGCCTATGTCAGCTCTGCCACTTAAAAGCTATGCAATTTCTGCCTTTTACCAAAATTCTTTGAGCCTTTGATTCCCTGACTACAAAAGTTACATAATAAAACTTAACTTACCCATTTGTTATGATTAAATGATCATACAATAGTCTTTTGCCAACCATAATGTAACACATAAAGATGTGGAATCATATAATGCTGTAAGAAGTAGAAAAATATAACAACTGCTCCAAAATAATTCTCTTATCTGTCTTCACAGGGCCTAAAAAAAAATCCTCTCATTGGTCTGCACAGAGTCTAAAATATCTGTTATTCATCCCTTTGACTACTCAAGAAGGTCTCTGTTAACTATATATATCATAATTGAATATTAAATATGTACTAAATATATTAAATAATTATTTGTGATGCATCACAATGCAAAACACTATTATTGGCAGTAATAAAAAGAAACAATTGAAAGCAGTAAATACTACTGGTTCATGCAAAAACATGAATGACCAAATATTAGGCTGAGTGAAGTAGCCAGAGAGATTTTTTTTTAAGTTCATATTGTATGGTTTTATTTTTATGAAATTCTAGAAGCTGTACAACTGAAAAGGGCACAAAGGAAATTTCTAGAGGATGAAAATGTCTTATTTCTTCAAAATGGTGTGGGGTACATTAATGCATGTACTTTTCAAAACGGATTTAAAGGAATACAGAGTGGAACATAACCACTGCACGCAAACTTTACTTTTAAAATTTTAAAAAGACCATCAAAACATCATTGTATTTACTTTAAAATAGTTCTGATATCTTATGGATGCATGCTGAATTATTTACAAATGAAAACATATACATAATTCTTGGAATTTAGTTAAAAATGGGGAATGGGAATAGTGATTAAAAAATGGGGAGTGGATGAGAACATAGATGAAACACGATTAATCATGAGTTGGAAAATAGTGGAAGTTGGGTGCTATTCCACCGAGAGTCCTTTATTTTCTCCACTTTTGTATATGTCTGAACATTTCCCATAGTAAAAAGTTGGAAAGAGAGGGATCAATGAACAGAAGGACTTAACTTGTTGAAACTCTCCAAGTCATAAAGCAAACCAACTCCCAACTTCCTTCTCCGATCCCAAGGAAGCAAAATATGAGTATTGTGGAAAGACCACTTTTCAAATGAGCAGACCAATAGAGCAAAGAGTTCCTTAAGTAGCATATACTCGCTTCCCATCTCTTTTGGTTTCAAACGGTTGATTTGCAGATTTAAATTGCTTTTCACTCACATTTCAGAGTGTGAGTGCAAGGATCAGAGAGAGGGGCAAGCTTCAGAGAAAGCCTTTTTTCCGCCCTACAAAAAATAAGCACAATACAAAGGAACAAAAAACATATAGCAAAGATGCGTTTTCCCGTTACAGGTCTAAAAGCATCCTCCCTACCAGGCAAAGAAAGCAGAGGGAGTCCGTGAGGGGGAGGAGTTTCGTTCTCCATTCCGTTGTGACCCAGGAACAGCTGTTTCCCCTCCAGCTCTTAAAGGTGAAACTGTGTTAAACAGTGCAAAAATTGTCTCGAACCCCTTGCGTGTGTCTGTGTGCCGGTGTGTGGGATGGGGTGGCGTGTCAGCACCGAGGACAACGCGAATTCGAAGTCAGGAAGGTGAGTGGTATGTGTTGAGAGAATCTCCCTTTTCAGAAGGCTCTGAAAAAATTGGATATACTGGTTCAGGAGAATCAATCACGCTGGATATGTCTCTTCCATCTAGGCACCTGCATCTGGAAAGTAAATCCCATTCTGAGAATGAAAAACCTTAGAGCCGTTTGGCTTCGACGGCTGGGGAATATTTATTCCTTGTTCCACTGATGGGAAAAGAAAACAGCGTCTGGCAGCCGCTGATTGGTGGAGAAGAAAATGGTGATAGTGGGGTGGAGAGAGGATTTGACTAGCCTCCTCCTTCCTCTTCAACCTGTAACTCTTCTTTACTAGTCTCCTCTCCGCCCGCGAGACCATATCGGGCTCATGAGAGGTTAAGAGTAGGCCTAAATCTGGGGGATATTTAAACAAAAGATATTTAACCTTTTGTCCTACGACCGTTAATCACACTTCATTGATCCGAGGGAAACGTGCTCTTGGTAGAGCTGATGTGAGCATGCTTCCTAGATTGCCTGTCTCTTTCAGCAGCTCCTCGAGAGACTGGCTGTGTCTTTGGTGGTCGACCTGTCACACTCCCCGCTTCCCGAGGCTTGATCTGACGTGGGGGGTCCCCGCGAGGAGCCAGAGGGAAAGGCGGAGACAAGGGGTGGGGGGGGAGAGGCGGGATGATGGGAAAGAGGGAGAGACTTCAGCCCAAGCCTAACACTCGGGATCTCCACGAGAGCTCCCGTGACCCTGAACTCGAGGTGAGCCGCAGAGCACCCCATCTTCCAGTCCTCCAGGTCCAGGCGGGAGGCGGGAGTTGGAGGTTCGGTCTTCCCCCGCCCCCATCCCCATCCGAGGAGAGGAGTGAACTGCACGCGGCTGGGAAAGCGGCGAGCGCCAGGAGAGAGGCGGGGAGAGGAGCTGACAAATCAGCCGCGGGGGCGGCGAGAGGAAGGGGAGGAGGAGGACCGCGGAGACTGGAAGGAACGGGGGCGAGCGAGCGAGCGCGGCGACGCGGGGTGAGGTGTGTGCTGGCTTTAGAGCGGACCCAGGGACCGAGCCGCGCCTTTAGCATCCTTGGCGCTCTTCCCGGCTCCCCCCGCCCCCCTCCACCCTTCCCTTCCGACCTTCTGCCTTTTTCTCTCGAATCTCTCGTGCGGGGGACGAGGACTGGCAATCCGACGGCAGGTTTGTGGGTTTGCCTCCCACGGCCCCCGCCTCTCAGCGCAGGCTTGCGCTGACAGCCGCCTCCTCTGGGGACCACCCCTCTTCTGGTGCCACCTCCACCTCTCCTGCGCGCTCTTTATCCTCTCTCTTCCCACTTAAATAACCTTTGGGAATTGTTTTTAAATTTTTTTAAAGTGGGGGTGGGGGAGAAATTGGAGTTCCGAGGAGCCGAGGAAACCTGGTAAGGGCTTGTGGAAGTAACTGGGCAGCTTTGGAAGTCGCGGAGAACACCTGGTGGGAGAGTCCTTGCGGACGCCCGGGGGCGCGCGCGAAGGGTCGGGCGCCGGGGGTGGGCGTGCTGCCGTGAGGACCGGCTGTAGTCGAGTCTCTCTCCGAGGTGAGTACTTATCCCTCGGGTGAGCTTGAGGAACGTAAATTGACCTGTTTTCCTCCCGCTTCGATTACTTCCCTCTTCTGGTCCTCAGAGGCCGAGAGGTCTGGATTCTCAGGGATCAGCTTTTCCTTTGGGGAACGCGAGGATGCTCCAGGGAGTATGAGTATTCAACTTTTGTTTGTCGCTGGCTTTAACCGCCCCCCGCCCCCAGTCCGCCCTCTCTGTTCTCTTTGTGAAGTAAACAACCTGCGTTTGGCAAATCGTTAAGCCGGAGCGCTGAGAGGGCGAGTCAACAGGTGATAAGGGGTTAACAGGTGCGGCGCCGGGTGGGGGGCGGGTTCCGGGAGCTGAGAACTCCCCCACGGGCGGCTGGCGCGCCTCCCGAGGCTTCCGCGGTTGTAAACTCGCGCCCTTCTGCAAGCTTTGGGTTGATAGCCCTGGGTCGGGTGCGTGGTTGGGTGTATTAGAGCGAGGGCGGTGGGCTCACAGTTGGCCTGAGGTTCAGCCACACCCAGAGTCAGTGGTTCCTTCCCTCCCCTACTCGTGATTGATCTGTTAGCTGCCTTCTGGAATTTAAGCGTGTCGCTGACCCACTGCCTCAGGTCCCTTTCCTTTTCCTGTGATGTCTTCTAAACGCACTTCTAACTTACACTGTCACCATTTGGACCCTGGGAAGTTAAAAGAGGAGTCTATCTTTTCGTGCAATTCCACTTAGGAAACGCGTAAGAACAGCTCATATGATTCATCCTAATCCATGTTTAGGCGGCTAGACTTTATCCAGCCAAGATGGATGGGAGATGCTAAATTTTTAATGCAAAAGCTAAGAAAAGCCTCCTTTGTCCAGTGGTTGAAGTGGAGGTACGCTTAAGATGATCTCACTCTTTTGAGGATTCTACTGATCTTTCAATAGTTTTTACTTTGGGGGGTTCTAATTTCGTTTTTTACGCAGAAGTTCTCAAAGTGTATTTTGTGTTCTCCAGTGTGGTGTGAAGGAATTCGTTAGCCATGGATGTTTTCATGAAAGGACTTTCAAAGGCCAAGGAGGGAGTCGTAGCGGCTGCTGAAAAAACCAAGCAGGGTGTGGCAGAAGCAGCGGGAAAGACAAAAGAGGGTGTTCTCTATGTAGGTAGGTAAACCCTGAATGCCACTTTGGTATTTATTTGGGATTGATGGGTTAGGATGATTGATGCTTTAAATGCTGGTGTTTCTCACTTGATTCAGTTTTGCATCTCCGCTCCTCAAAGTGATGGGCTGAATCAGAGGTGTGTGTAAGTAGGTGAATGTGTGTATGTGAGCTAATATAAAAAGTGGGGCTATTTTGTTTTTCCAGACTATTTAATTTTGCAGTAATATTTAGGACTTTGTTTCTTTTTTTAAAATGAATGTTTCTATGCATAAGTTGGGTTTCCCTGGTGGCTCAGAGGTTAAAGTGTCTGCCTGCAATGCGGGAGACCTGGGTTTGATCCCTGGGTCGGGACTCTGAGGACAGTTTTAAAAACTCTGTCTTAGAAAATATTCAATAGTATCTTAAAATCAAACTCTTTCATGAGCTTTTGATTTATCTTCATGAATAATATATGCTAATTTCAGTGTATCCTAATTTAAAAGTAAGATGTTGATATAATCTTGAGATATGTAAAGAGAGACCTACTGTGACCCTAAAATGGAAAGGACAGACAAGTCTTTGGAGTTACTTCTTGTGACCACTTGGTAAGTTGGGAACTAAGCTCAAGAAAGTGCTTGAGGGCTGCTAATACCTCTGAGACATTTATATAGTTCATTTATCAAATGATACAATAAATTGGATGCTTACTGTTTTTCCTTGTTTATAAATTCCCACATCAGAGTATTCTTGCAGTGAAGTGAAAGTCGCTCCATCCCGTCTGACTCTTTGTGATCCCATGGACTGTCCATGGAGATTCTCCGGGTTAGAATACTGGAGTGGATAACCTTTTCCTTCTCCAGGGGATTTTCCCAACCCAGGGGGATTGAACACAGATCTCCCCAGGGATCAAACCTAGGTCTCCCGCATTTCAACTGGATTCTTTACTGGCTGAGCCACAAGGGAAGTCCAAAAATACTGGAGTGGGTAGCCTATTCCTTTTCCAGAAGCTCTTCCTGACCCAGGAATCAAACCAGGGTCTCTTGCATTGCAGGCGGATTCTTTACCAGCTGAGCTATCAGGGAAGCCCTACTCTTTTTTTTTTTTTTTTTAAATCTTAAACTGTGTTAGGTTGGGTGTTGTTTCCCAAGTCACCTGGAATTCTTTGGGTGAAGAAATAGGCATACACATAGACACACACTCATCTATAGGGATACAAACAGGCACATGAGCATACATACCCACTGCCCATTCTGTCTCTTCTTTTTCTCCTCTGAGCTAGGTCACATTCTTTGGTAGCAGGTGTAGCAACAGCAGCCAAAGGATGAGTAATAAAGTGGAGGATGAGCATAATGGATTGTATAGAATACTCTGTCTATGTCTGTGGGGTGAAAGAAAGCTATATCGTCTCTTTGATATAGATAGGCTGGAGAAAAGTTATACTTGGAATGATTTTTATGAATATTTCTCATATTTTTTCTCTTGTTCATAGACTCTTTTTATTTTGGTTTAATCTTACCACAAACCTCTAGTTAAATTACTCTTTATCTTAAAATATATTTTCAGAAGATCATTGGATTAAAAGATGTTACAAGAGGGAAAAGTCAATGAGTTAATCTCAGTTTTTTCCTTGTGAAATGTGGATTGTATCTTTTTAGGTGGAATTTGGAATACTGAATCAGTGACATTCAGATAATCAGTATTTTTATATTTTTCCTCAGTGTTCCAAGTTGTGCAAGTGCATGCTTTGTAACCATTCCTTGATTTCAGTTACTTTATAACTTAGTTACTTTTAAGATTTTTTTAGTAGGATAATATTGATTTATTAGTTTTGAATGAGCCCAAGAACCACTGACTATTAAATTAACACATTGCTGTTTTCGAGGTAATAAGCAGGATTATCATCTGGAAAACATTGTACTTGTTTTCATTTTCAACCATGAGTTTGGGCAAATAAAATGACTTAATTTTTAGAGATTAATTCTGTTATTTTCTCTGAGATTATTATATGAAATTTCAATTTGTTTATGTGCACATAACACATTTATTTTAAATGTGTTTAAATAAACACATATTATTTTAAAAAATAATCTTCAGTGTTTATTATGGTATTTAGCAGAGTGCATTCTATATACTATTTATCACTTAATATTTTAAAGTCAGTTAAAAGTTGAACACAAATACGTAATTCAGGATGAAGTATGACCTTGTGAAGTTATAGTATTACCAGGTGTTGGCAAGCTTTTTCCATAAAGGGGTAGTGAGTAATTTTAGGGTGTGATATCTTTTTCAACTGATCAACTTTGCTCTCCTGAAGTGAAAGCAGCCATAAACAATAATTAGGGTGACTATGTTCCTATAAAACTTTACTTACCAAAACAGCTGGAGAGTTTATTTGGCTCATAGGCTATAGTTTACTGACTCCTGATAAAGTAGGAAAAAATGTAGATTTAATGTCAAACTTAAATTCCCGTCCAGTCTACACCACTTTTTACCTCTAGGATAATGAGGAAGGTACTTAACATATCTAAGCATCACTTTTCTCATTTGTAAAAATACAATTTGAATAAATGCAAGTACCTTGCAGAGTTCTTGTGAGAACATCATAATAAAGCAGAACCTATAAGTAAAAAGCATACTTTTAAAAAATTAAAGACTTAATTTTTATAAGTTTTAAATTAACAGAAAAATTGATATATAGAGGTTTCCCATGTACCCCTCCCCCCACACACGCATAGCCTCTCCAATTACCAACATCCTTTACCAGATGTACAACTGTTACAGCTGATGAACCTACATTGACACATCATAATCATCGGAACTCCATAGCTTCCATTAAGGATCACTTTTGCTGCAATATGTTCTGTGAGTTTGGACAAATGTGGAAATGGCAGTCCACTCCAGTATTCCTGCCTGGAGATTCCCATGGACAGAGGAGCCTGGTAGGCTGCAGTCCATGGGGTCACAAAGAGTCAGACACGACTAAATGACTAACATACACACACATTCATCGATATAATATATAGAGTATTTTCAGTGTCCTAAAAATCCTCTGTGATCTGTTTATTCATGGCCTTCTCCCAACCTCTGGCTGTCACTGATCTTTTTCTCTCCATAGTTTTGCCTTTTCCAAAATGTCATATCAATGGAATCATATATTGTTTAGCCTGTTGAGATTGGCTTCTTTCAATTAATAATATGCATTTAAATTTCTTTCATGTCTTTGAATGGCTCATTTCTTTTCAGTGCCAAACAATATTCTATTGTCTCAGTGTATCATAGTTTATCATTCACCTCCTACAAGAATCTTGGAGGTACTTGGAGGGCATCTTACTTGCTTCAAAGAGTTGGCAGTTATGAATAAAGCTGCTGTAAATGTCTATGTGCAGGTTTTTGTGTGTACATAAGATTTCAGTGCCTTTGGGTAAATATCAAAGAGCAGAACAATTGCTGGGTCATGTGATAAAATATGTTTAATTTTCAAAGAAACCATCAAACTATCTTCCACAGGGACTGCACCATTTTGCATTCCCACCAGTAATTAATGACAGTTTTTGTTACTCTACTTCCTTGACAAAATTTGATACTGTCAATGTTCTGGACTTTGGCCATACTAATACATATGTAGTGGCATTGCACTGTTATTTTAATTTGTATTTTAAAACTGGTGACATAGGATGTGGAGCATCTTCTCAAATGCTTATCTACTATCTCCACATCTTCTTTGATGAAGTATCTATTAAGATCTTTGGCCTATTTTTTAATCAGGTTATTTGTTTTCTTATTGTTGATTTTTAAGAGTTCTTTGTCTTCTTTTTCAGATATTTCATAAATATTTTCCTGTCTGTAGATTGTTTTCTCATTCTTTTGAAATTGTCTTTTATAGAAGTTTTTAATTTAAATGAATTCTCACTTATTAATGATTTAATGGAGTGTGACTTTGGTGTTATAGCTCAACAGTCATTGCCATACTTGAGATTATATAGATGTTCTTCAGCGTGATCTTCTAGAAGTTTTATAGTTTCACATTTTACACTTAAGGCTATGATTCATTTTGGATTATTATATAATGTTGTATAAAATTATTTTTTTCATGTAGATGTCCAGTTCTAGCACCATTTGTTTAAAGACTATCTTCGCTCCATTTTATTGCTTTTTTTCCTTTGTCAAAAATCAGCTGCTTACATTTATGTTTGTGTATTTCTGGGCTCTCTTTTCTAGTCCCTTGATCTATTTGTTTATTCTTTCACCAATATCATTGTTTTGATTATGACAGCTTTGTAAGTAGTGTCAGTCCTCTAACTTTGTTCTTCTTCAATGGCATTTTGGCTATTTTTGATCTTTGCCTCTCCACATAAACTTTAGAATCAGTTTGTCAATATCCACAAAATTACTGGGGTTTTGCTTGAGATTGTTGTTGATTAGTCGCTAAGTCATGTCCAACTCTGTGACCCTATGGACCACGGCACAGTGGGCTCCTCTGTCCTCTACTATCTCCTGAAATTTGCTCAAATTCATGTCCATTGAGTTGGTGGTTCTCTCTCTCTCTATATATATATGTATATGTATGTATATATGTATATATATGACATGGAACTGTAAAATCAAGTTGGGAAGAGCTAACATGTTGTTAATATTCTGTCTTCTATCCATGAATGTGGAATATCTCTCTATTTATGTAGTTCTTTGATTTTGTTATCAAAGCTTCATAATTTTTCCCATATAGATCTTATATATATTGCATTAAATTTATGCCCAGGTATTTTGTTTTTGATGCTAACATAAATTATACTGTTTTTAATTTCAAATTCTGCTCGTTCATTACTGGTATATAGGAAGGTGATTGACTTTTTAACCTTGCATCCTGCAATCTTTCTATAATAACTTATTAGCACCAGGATATTTTTTGTTGATTCTTGACAGTTTTGTTTCATCTTTCCCAGTCAGATATCTTTTATTTCCTCATCTTATTGCAATAGCTAGGGCTTCCTGTACGATGCTGAAGGACTGGTGAAAGGGGATATTATTGCCTTGTTCCTGGTAATAAAGTTCCTAGTGTCTCACAATGAAATATGATGTTAGCTGTAAACTTTTTGGTAGATATTTTCTATCAGGTTGGGAAAGTTATCTATTTCTAGTTTACTGGGAGGGTTTTTTTACCACAAGTAGGTGTTGGGTTTTGCAAATGCTCTTTCTGCATCTATTAATATGATCATGACACTTGTCTTTTTGAGCCTGCTGATATGAAGAATTAATTAATTGACTTTCAAACATTGAACCAGCCTTGCATACCTATGATAAATGCCACCTGACTGTGATGTATAATTCTCTTCATGCATTGTTGTGTTTGATTCATTAACATTTCATTGAGAATTTTTGTAAGTGTACTTTTATATGTAGGAGCCATGGTTATTATTGTCAAATAAACTCTCCAACAGGGCTGCTTGGTGGCTCCAATGGTAAAGAATCTGCACCAAGCAGGAGACCTGGGTTTGATCCCTGGGTCAGAAAGATCCTCTGGAGAAGGGAATGGCAACCCACTCCAGTATTCTTGCCTGGAGAATCCCACGGACAGAGGAGCTTGGTTGGCTACCGTCCATGGGGTTGCAAAGAGTCTGACAGGACTGAGTGATGAGCACACACACACAAGCTCTGCAACAGAATTATTTGTCAATGTATTTTCTTTTGATAATTTTATCCTTCATTATAAGAACTATTATCAATAACTAGCTTGAAAGATTAGAAATAACTAGGGAAAATTTTCCTCTTTCACTTATGGGTGAAGAAGTTTAGCACACTGTTTTCTTAAGGCTCATGAGAGAGTAATCTCATTCCTTTATAATATACTTTCAACAGCTAGCTTTTAATGCTAATTGATGAACCACCATAAGAATCAGTATTTTTGTGTATGGTGTTAGAAAGTGTTCTAGTTTCATTCTTTTACAAGTGCTTGACCAGTTTTCCCAGCACCACTTGTTAAAGAGGTTGTCTTTTTTCCATTGTATATCCTTGCCTCCTTTGTCGAAGATAAGGTGGCCATAGGTTCGTGGATTTATCTCTGGGCTTTCTATTCTGTTCCATTGATCTATATTTCTGTCTTTGTGCCAGTACCATACTGTCTTGATGACTGTGGCTTTGTAGTATAGTCTGAAGTCAGGCAGGTTGATTCCTCCAGTTCCATTCTTCTTTCTCAAGATTACTTTGGCTATTCCAGGTTTTTTGTATTTCCATCCAAATTGTGAAATTATTTGTTCTAGTTCTGTGAAAAATACCATTGGTAGCTTGATAGGGATTGCATTGAATCTATAGATTGCTTTGGGTAGTATAGCCATTTTGACAATATTGATTCTCCCAGTCCATGAACACAGTATGTTTCTCCATCTGTTTGTGTCCTCTTTAATTTCTTTCATCAGTGTTTTACACTTTCTAACACCATACACAAAAATAAACTCAAAATGGATTAAAGATCTAAACGTAAGACCAGAAACTATAAAACTCCTAGAGGAGAACATAGGCAGAACACTCTCCGACATGAATCACAGCAGGATCCTCTATGACCCACCTCCCAGAATATTGGAAATAAAAGCAAAAAATAAACAAATGGGACCTAATGAAACTTAAAAGCTTTTGCACAACAAAGGAAACTATAAGCAAGGTGAAAAGACAGCCCTCAGATTGGGAGAAAATAATAGCAAATGAAGCAACCGACAAAGGATTAATCTCAAAAATATACATGCAACTCCTCCAGCTCAACTCCAGAAAAATAAATGACCCAATCAAAAAATGGGCCAAAGAACTAAACAGACATTTCTCCAGAGAAGACATACAGATGGCTAACAAACACATGAAAAGATGCTCAGCATCACTCATTATCAGAGAAATGAACATCAAAACCACAATGAGGTACCATTACACGCCAGTCAGAATGGCTGCTATCCAAAAGTCTACAAGCAATAAATGCTGGAGAGGGTGTGGAGGAAAGGGAACCCTCTTACATTGTTGGTGGGAATGCAAACTAGTACAGCCACTATGGAGAACAGTGTGGAGATTTCTTAAAAAACTGGAAATAGAACTGCCATATGACCCAACAATCCCACTTCTGGGCATACACACCGAGGAAACCAGATGTGAAAGAGACACGTGCACCCCAATGTTCATTGCAGCACTGTTTATAATAGCCAGGACATGGAAGCAACCTAGATGCCCATCAGCAGATGAATGGATAAGGAAGCTGTGGTACATATACACCATGGAATATTAGTCAGCCATTAAAAAGAATTCATTTGAATCAGTTCTAATGAGATGGATGAAACTGGAGCCCATTATACAGAGTGAAGTAAGCCAGAAAGGTAAAGAACATTACAGCATACTAACACATATATATGGAATTTAGAAAGATGGTAACGATAACCCTATATGCAAAACAGAAAAAGAGACACAGATGTACAGAACAGACTTTTGGACTCTGTGGGAGAAGGCGAGGGTGGGATGTTTCAAAAGAACAGCATCGAAACATGTATATTATCTAGGATGAAACAGATCACCAGCCCAGGTTGGATGCATGAGACAAGTGCTCAGGCCTGGTGTACTGGGAAGACCCAGAGGAATTGGGTGGAGAGGGAGGTAGGAGGGAGGATCGGGATGGGGAATATATGTAACTCCATGGCTGATTCATGTCAATGTAAGACAAAACCGACTACAATATTGTAAAGTAATTAGCCTCCAACTAATAAAAATAAATGAAAAAAAAATGAATTAAAAAAAAAAGAATCAGTATTATTTTTGTTTTTTTTCCTCCTTTTGTGATATCTTTGTATACAAATTTTCAATCAACCTACTTCAATTTAATGGACCAAAAATTTCTCAATCAAATGGTTTAGAAATTGTGAGTTGAGAGTGAAATTCAAAAGCAAAAAAAAAAAAAAAAAAGTTCTCTGCCAAGTATTCTAACAGCAAAGGCAAGAAAATGACCTTCAAAACTCTTCCAGCGATACCCTGCTCAATAAGTAGCAGTGGTCAAGACTGTGGATTGATATCAAACTCCCAAGTCACAATTTGCTTCACCTTCACCATACTGAGCTAGTCAACATGACATGCACGACAGCATAATTGAGTCCTTGGCAATGCCCAGGCATCATTTCTGATCTTCTCCACTCTGCAGCTTTGTGAAGTCATAAGAGACAAGAGGGGAATGGATGTGGGCTACATCAACTTAGGGAAGCCATCATGAGATCTACCTATCTATAAGGTCTATCTGTCTATCACATTACTGGTGACACACCACTGGGCACGTATTTTGCAGCTTTATCTTTTCATTTACAGGTTACTTATCAATTAAAAGTTAATCATCAGAAACATATACTACTAAATAATTATGACAGCCAAAAACAGGTGATTGGTTTGATGCAAAGAAACTCGTTAAGACTTTCTTGTATGTTTGATTCAGGATACATTCCATGATTTAGCCAAAGATCAAATTATCAGGTATAACTGAGGCAGAGGGAATATACTACAGGCCAATTGTTAAAATATATTTTTACTAGTTGTTTTTAAAAATAAGGTGTTGAAGGAGTGGCAGGTAGGGAATGATAAATATTCATTTCCCAGTTTTTCGGTCCTAATTTCCTTACATTCTTCTCTGATAGAATTACTTTATTTAGCTTATTGGGTAGTTTTCAAATGAATTTTCTTTTTGTTGTTATTTTCTCCAAGATCATTAAAAAGCTGTATGAATTACACTAAAAAATCCAACATTAGAGAGCTGATGAATAAAATTATTCACAAACTTAATTTTACCAATACATATTAATAAATTCTTTGCGTAAAAATTTGGTAATGGTCAAGATTTGGGGAAAATTCCTATCTTGCCCCTTCTCAAAGCTAGCATCAGTCATACTTCAGTGATAAAATACTGTATTCCTTCTAAAGATTTGCCTGGTTTCGTAGAAACAATATGGGCTTAGGGTCACAGAGCCCTTAATTTGAACATGCTTGTAGCTGGTGACTTCAGACAAATCATTTAACTTTAATTTGTAATTGCTTCACGTGGAGTAAAATGGGCATGATGTAAGATGGGGGGTTATTATAAACATTAAATGAGATGAAAAGTGCCTTTTTCATAATAGATGTTCAACAACTATGAATTCCCTCTCTCCTTCCCCCATCCATTTGTGTTCCGTGGGTTAAGTAATCTTTCTTTGTATTGCATTTTAGTAGAGTTTTTGCAGTTCTGAATCCAAAATCAGCTTCCCAGCCAGACCCTGTGTTTTCTCACCTTTTCTTTTTTACTTTGTGTAAGTTGATATGTGAAGTGGGACACAAGGGGTTGAAAAGCTATTATTGTGTGCCAAAATCTTAATTGAAGCGTATCTGGTTAGCTTTGCTTTGTTGTATTTGTTGTAATGGTTACTAAATTTCTTTGTTTTAAATGTTTTGCTCCCTGAAGATATCTTTACATGTGGGTTTTTGAAGAGTGAGATATTGTTTTTCCATTAGATGTATTTAAAAGTAGCTCATTAGCAGTAAAGGTGACTTTGAAGCTTATGGTTTGAATTTGTTTGTTTTTGTAGGATCCAAAACCAAGGAAGGGGTAGTTCATGGTGTGACAACAGGTAAGCTTTGTGGAACTTATATTCAAGGATGATATTGAAAATATCTAGTAAGCAGGATAGCGCCAGCACTGATCATTCAGGATGTAAATATAAATAACCACTCTGCCCATAGAGGAGCATTCTAGAAAACATCAGCTTTGTTTAATCTAGATTCTTTATTAAATATTTTAAAGTATGTTAAGTATTTGTTATAAATAAGTAAAACACAGTGTTTGTAACTGTCAAGAATGATGACTGAATTGACTAGTTTAATTGTTTAACTTATAGTATTGTAACATTTAAGTATTCTGATCAAGTTAATGTTCTGGCAAGTGATAGCGGAATATCATATAAGGACTGCCATTTTTAAAGAGTTGAATGAAAATTTTCTATAGAGTACAATGAAATATTCTGACACTAAAATATACAAATTATAATATTTCCTTGATTCACAAGATATTTTAGGAAATACCCTTGGGATGATCAGTAAATTATTTATTGTATTTATCTCTGTTTGGCCTAATTTCACCCAAAATTTGAAATTAGGTCTGTGAGAAGATTACAATAAGGGAATAGCAAAAATGATGAATATTATGATGGTGATGATGAGGAAGAGGAGGAGGATAATGATAGAAATAGAAAAATGACAATTTAGCAACTTTAATATATGGACTTGCTGTGATTGAGTTTTATGTTTTATATACTCCCAAGCTTTCTGACAGGCGTGATAAAAGAAGATATACTCGTATGATCAGATAGAAAATATAACTCATATGATAAGAAAACAGTAAATATGGCAGGGCCTCAGCAGAATAACATGCTTCTATTGCTAAGTTATAAAATAGATTTTGAGAAAATAAAATGGGAATATTAATACAGTATTTTGGTTAAGGATATAAATACTGAAGCCAGACCTCTTTAGTCCAAATTTCTGCTTACCCTTTACTAGCTGTGTGACTGTTCTGCAAGATTCATTACCTCTGTGTGATTCAGTTTCCTCATATGTAAAATAATTCAGTGAATGAGAATATAAATAAATACCTAGAATACTGAAGGCAAATAGTATGTATTACCTAGATTTATTTACTATCATTTTATAGTGAATCTATTTTGAGCCACATTTTTGTAGCTAGTGGAGAAAGGTATTTATATGACTTTTTTACATACTATATAGTCCATGGAATTCTCCAGGCCAGAATACTGAAGTGGGTGGCCTTTTCCTTCTCAGGGGATCTTCTCAACCCAGGGATAGAACCCAGGTCTCTGGCATTGCAGGCCGGTTCTTTATCAGCTGAGCCACAAGGGAAATCCAAGAATACTGGAATGGGTAGCCTATCCCTTCTCCAGCAGATCTTCCTGACCCAGGAATCGAAACGGAGTCTCCTGCATTGCAGGCAGATTCTTTGTCAACTGACCTCTCAGGGAAGCCCTTTTATACATACTTTTGACTAAAAAAGTTAGAGTATAAAATCAAAACAGGGAGTTCTATGGTGGCCTTGTGGTTTGGATTCTGGGTTTTCACTGCCATGTCTTAGGTTCAACGCCTGTTCAGGGAACTAAGATCCCACAAGCCATGTAGTGCAGCTGAAAATAAATAAATAAATAAAAAACAAACCCTTTGAAACTAATTCTTCTAGAAGCTAAGTTAAAGTATGCAAGATACATTTGCTCTGTTGGAATTCAGTATATTAAACTGCCCTGTAGGGACCTTCTATAAATGGCATTTTAAGTATGATTTTTGTAAGAACTAGTTATCAGACAGTTGTAGACTATGCTATATGAAGAGAGTCTACTTGGGTTAACAGCTTTTCATTATAATAGCTGAAGGAGAATCCATATGGATGAAAAAACGGATAAGCATGTTGCAAAGTTTAGAGCCTGTGGTAAAAATTAGAGAATAAGCTAATATTGCCATCCAATGGAGGCTATGCAGATAGGCTGCAAGGATAACTATTGACAAAGTCAGAATTTTGAGTTTTTTTTAGAATGACAGAATGTAAAGGTGAGTTTTTGAGGTGTTTGTGTGCATGCATGCGTACACACTTGGCCTGGTACAAGGGACTGAAGTTTTGTACTATAAGGCAATATTTTGCAAATTGTTTCTGAAGAACAGCAGCCTGCCAGCTAATGTTTCCATGGTTTTAAAATGTTTGGAAACTTTGCATATCCTGTCTTCCTTTTAGCATATTAAAGAAACTGAGCTGTTCTACAGTAAATAAATTTACATAATTTAGTTTAACCCAGGATTTCCAAAACTAATTTGACTTTCTTTCAATAGTTGAAAAAAGTGAGTGTCACTCAGTAGTGTCCCACTCTTTGTGACCCCCATGGACTATACAGCCCATGGAATTCTCCAGGGCTGAATACTGGAGTGGGTAGCTGTTTCCTTCGCCAGGGGATCTTCCCAACCCAGGGATCACACCCAGGTCTCCCACATTGCAGGCAGATTCTTTACCAGCTAAGTCACAAGGGAAGCCCTTTCAACAGTTACTGGAGTTTAATTCAACTAGCATTCCCCGGAATACTATGGAAAATCCTTCTAAGCAGGGAGACCATGATGATTTTGGCATGGGCAGTGTTTACAGTCATTGCACCAGTCAAAGACTTCCCTGGTGCCTCAGCTGGTAAAGAATCTGCCTGCAGTGTGGGAGACCTGGTTCAGTCCCTGGGTTGGGAAGATCCCCTGGAGGAGGGTATGGCAACCCTCTCCAGTATTCATGCCTGGAGAATCCCCATGGACAGAAAAGCCTGGTGGGCTACAGTCCATGCGGGTTGCAAAGAGGCAGACATGACTGAAGTGACTTAGCACAGCACCAGTCAATCACCCTGGCAGTAGTAAAGTATCAGAAATGTTGGTATAAGTAATCTGGCTTTGAAAATTGCAGTAGAATAAATCATTTGCAAAAAGGGCCATCCCTCTCTCGTATCAGATAAATTAATTTGTTGAATAAAGTTATTTCATGTAAAATTCTAAATTCATATTATAAGGGTAAATAAATGTTTAAGGTAATAACCTCAGTAGTTAATCAGAGAGAATTGGTTGCTTTTTATATATGACCTAAAATGTTTATCATGGTACATAATAAATGCTAAATAATTGTTATTTACTTTGTTATTACTCTTAAAGCAGGGAAGTGAGAAACTATTATAAAGTACATAACAATATCAGCTAATGTTAAAAGAAAAATTTCCACAAGATTCATTTCATTAACTATTTTGTAGAAATACAGACTTTAGTAAACTTAGGCCAGGCATTTTCTACCTACAACATCCAGGGAAAATTAATCCTCCCAGTTAGATAATCTGAAGATAAAATCCAGAAAACTCTACCTTAATCCCTGGCTTTTTGATCTCAGAACATTATTATTTCAGTTGTCAGTACATCACTTTATAGGAAAATATGAGAGAGCACTTAATCTGGGCTTATTGAATGACATGCCTTTGAAGGTATTAAAAAAATTAATTTGATATAAGCTGACTCATTCTCATTTTTTCCCTCATGAAAGTGTGATATAAAGAAACTCCTATTGTTGGAGATCTTCTACAGGCTGATTCTTACACACAGAAATTTGTTATACAATAATGAACACAGTTAATTTCCAACATGTTACATTTTAAATTTCCTTGTTAAAAAATATAAATTTTTTGTCCTCATATCTGTAATTTGTATACTAATTCAAAACTATATCTTAATTTTGTAATTTTTTTTAATGTTATAGGTTAGATTTACTGTCTATTCTAAAAGTTGGTGCCACATTTCCTTTGTGGAATTGTGTTGTTAACTTAGAGTCAATACTTATTGAAATTAATGTATATATTATACATATACACAAAATTGCTTTTAATGTACTCAAAATTATTTAATGAGTGTTACTATGAAATAATATAAAGAGAATATTATCTCTGGTTTTGATCAACTCAAAATATACCAGTGGAGGTGGGCAGACATACTGGGAAATCAATAATTACGGTACAAATAAAAAGCTCATAAAATTTTATGAGCACACAGGAGGAGGAAGAAGGACAGTTGTTGGGAAAAGAGGCTATTAACATGGAATTTAACTTTTGAGGTGGGTTTTAACAAAGGGGTTTAAGGTCAGTTAATTATCTGCTAGATAAATCAGTTCCTACAGAAATCTTAAAATGTGTCTATCAGGGACTTTCCTTGTGGTACAGTGGTCAAAACTAAATGCTTCCAATGCAGGGACCTAGGTTTGATCCCTGGTCGGGAAAGATCCCACATGCTGCATGGCACAGCCAAAAAATAAAAATAAATTAAGAAAATAAATAAAATGGTCCACCACTGCTATATGTAAATCCTGCCATTTTGGAAGGCAGCTATGCTCACCACTATACCACCAACGCCTGCTTAAATCCTGCCATTTTGTAATGTAAATAATTTACTTATTCTTACAGTGGTAAAATCTAATCAATCATAATAAACTAAAAAGTGCATTTTACTGTGCAGATATGTGCATTAAAAAAGTATGTATATAAATCTAGAATTATAAAAATAAACTTTCATGGCTGGCAGAAGAAAAATTATGAATCTTTAAAAAGATCAAAATTTATTTTTGTCTTTGAGATTTTATAACAAGAAATGTTCATTTTCAAGTAAAATTTTCCACTTGTGTTCTTAGAAAAGAAAAAAATGAGAACTTGAAGCCCATAATTCACTATTTTTAAAGCATCAACATTCTGGAAATGTTTAAAAACATGAGATTTTCAGTACAGTTTTTCACTGGCATTTAAATTGAACTTTGAATTGAGTATAGCCGTGACTAGTTGGTAGGCATCTACCACATGCCCAGAAGTGGCAAATATCAAGCAATACCTGCTGTGAACTCTTCCTGCTTTTAGACTCTTGGGACCACTTTCATTTCCCTCTATTGTCTACACTGAGGAGTGAGACTCGTTTTCCTTTTTTCCTTACCTACCTCCTCAACTTCCATGACCTACATACTGTATTTAAAACCCAATTGTTTTGACCACACTATTACTATTTAGTCGTGTCAGACTCTGCGATGCTATGAATAGTAGCCCACCAGGCTCCACTGTCCATGGGATTCTCAAAGCAAGAATACTAGAATGGGTTGTCATTTTCTTCTCCAGGGACTGGCCCCTCCCAACTGGTGAAATGAAATCTGTACAATAATCGGGTGACTAGCACATAACACTTAACAGCTCACATGGTACAACTCATTGAATTCCTCAGAAAAGAAGGCAAACATTACATATAGATAAGAATGCAAAACCCACAGGCTTTATGAGTGTAAATGTTATAAGGATTCAGTTCAGTTCAGTTGCTCAGTTGTGTCTGACTCTTTGCGACCCCATGGACTGCAGTACGCCAGGGCTCCCTGGCCATCACCAACTCCCGGAGCTTGCTCAAACTCATGTCCATTGAGTTGGTGATGCCATCCAACCGTCTTATCCTCTTTCATCCTCTTCTCCTGCCTTTGATCTTTCCCCAGCATCATGGTCTTTTCCAATGAGTCAGTTCTTTGCATCAGATGGCCAAATTATTGGAGCTTTAGCATCAGTCCTTCCAATGAATATTCATGACTGATTGCCTTCAGGATTGACTGGTTTGATCTCCTTGCTGTCCAAGGGACTTTCAAGAGTCTTCTCCAACACCATAGTTCAAAAACATGAATTCTGCAGTGCTCAGCTTTCTTTATAGTCCAGCTCTCACATCCATGCATGACCACTGGAAAAAGGTTTGGGTGAAGAGTTGTCATGTTTCCCTTGAACTTGAAATTTTTAAAAGTGCAGAATCTCATCTTTTACCTCTTTTTCATAAAACTCTTAATTGAAGCAAACTTTTTTTTATTGCAGCTTTGTTTACTTGATATTTGTATGGAATTAATATAGAAACATTAATTCAGCAGTTACATATAGTCTTAGATAATTTTTGATATGAGATCGAATCTCTTTCTAAATCTAATCCCAAACTATTTATACCATCATCTTATAATTTAACTTATTTTTAAAAGCCAACTGAATCTCCATATTTTATTTTTAATGAGAAGAAATTAAGTGTGCTCAACAAACCATTTCATTTCATACTTTAAGTCCAGCTCTTTTGTTCCCATTAAAATGATTGAAAATAAATCTTAACATTAAAACTCATTGTTTCAACTACCTGATATTTCATAAAAGGATCAGCATAGTCATCCCTTACTCTGTTGTTTTATTTCTGATGATACCATGTGAGAGCCCATATGTGTTCTGTGACTCAGAAGGTGTGATGAAAAAAACATGCTGAGTGAGATCAAAGACTTGGCATTGAAATTGAAATAAAGAAATACTTCATGCTCAGTTTGATACAACTACACCTGCAAGCCTTGCTTTCTGTAAACTTTCTTTCATAAAATGTCAACCAGAGCGAAATTGCTTACAGCCCTAAATTTGTGATCATTAGGCTTGAAACACCTTTAAACATCTGCATGATTGCACAAGACTATCTTGGCAAAGAATCTGTGTTTGGCTAAGCCATGCTCACTTAGCAATCTCAGTAACTTTTTCTTCTCCTGACTCACCAGTTATCTACGTGTGTGAATATAGGTCTTTGGAAGTTGATGGTTAGTGGAAGCGAAATTATTCCTAGTGGCTGTTGGTCCACCATCCCTTAATCTGTCATTGTTCTTAATTCATCCCAGTGGCTGAGAAGACCAAAGAGCAAGTGACGAACGTTGGAGAGGCCGTGGTGACAGGGGTGACTGCAGTAGCCCAGAAGACAGTAGAAGGGGCAGGGAGCATTGCAGCTGCCACTGGCTTTGGCAAAAAGGATCATTTGGGCAAGGTAGGACTGTGTACGTCTTGTTACGTTTCTGAGCTTGTGGATCACCGTGCATTTTCAGCAAGGCACAGAGGCAAGAATAAGATGCTTACTTGAGGGAGAGCTGACTAAGCTTCCCTCATAACAAAACAAGCACTACCTTTATATGTATTCTTTTTGGAGATATTCACCCAGATAAATGCTGTGAAAATTGCACAATAATTGTGATCGTTTTATTTTCTGGAAAGAAAGTTAATGAAATGAACAGTGTAACAAATGTCTAAAAGAGCCGTGACATTTCAGAAAGAATGGGTGCTTTTATGTTGGCTGTGAATCTTGGAATTTTTTGTTTGTTGGAGTATATAGCAAATGCTTTGTGCCCAGTCTCTAAATGTTCAAAATGAAAATCTTTTACTTAATTTCTTTATAGTGACATCAGATCTTATTAAGCGGCATATTTGCTTATTATATAACAATTCATTGCCAAATAATGTTTGTGGAAACTGAGGGGCTTAAACTACAATCATGGTTTTGGGGTGATTTTAAAATTCTCAGAATTTTGACTTTTCCTTTCTTGACAAATATGAGACTCTAGGAAAATTATTCAAGAGTTAGGACTTTCATTATAAACAAATAAACAACAGAAAATGAGGTATCAACTGGAAGATGAAAATTTTACAAAATTCATCACCATAAGCAGATTTTTTTTTTAATTGAAATATAGTTGATTTATAATGTTGTGCCAGTCTCTGCTGTACAACAGAGTGACTCAGTTATGGTCATATATATATTCTTTTTTATATTATTTTTCATTATGGTTTATTCCAGGTGATTGGATATAGTTCCCTGTGCCACAGTAGGACCTTATTGTTTATCCACTCTAAATGTAATGGCTTGCATCTACCCACTTCTAACTCCTAGTCCGTCTTTCTCGCTCCTCTCCGTCTTGGCCACCACAAGTCTAATCCTATGTCTGTGAGTCTATTTCTGAATTTGGTAGATAGGTTCATTTGCATCATATTTTAGATTTCACATATAAATGATATCATATGGTATTTATTTTACTCTTTCTGACTTCGCTTAGCATGATAATCTCTGGTTGCATCTACGTTGCTTCAGATGGCATTATTTTGCTCTTTTTATGGCTGAGTAGTATTCCATTGTGTATATGTCACATCTTCTTTATCTGTCAGTGGGCATTTAGGTTGTTTTCAAGTTTTGGCTATTGTGAATAGTGCTGTTGTGAACATAGGGGTACATGTATTCTTTTGAGTTACAGTTTTGTCTGGGTATATGCCCAGGACTGGGTTTGTTGGATCATATGGTAATTGTATTTTTAGTTATCTGAGGAACTTTCATCCTGTTTTCCATAGTGGCTGTCCCAACTTATACTGCCACCAACAGTGTAGGAGAGTTCCCTTTTCTCTACACCCTCTCCAGCGTTTTAACGATGACCATTCTGACAGATGTGAGGTGGTACCTCATTGTAGTTTTGATTTGCATTTCTCTAATAGTTAGCAACGCCGAACATCTTTTTCTGTGCCTCCCAGCCATCTGTGTACCTTCTTTGGAGAAGTGTCTATTATGGTATTCTCATTTTTTGGTTGAGTTGTTTGCTTTCTTGTTGTGGTTTGTTAAGTTGTATGAGCTGTTTGTATATTTGAGATATTAAGCCCTTGCTGGTCACATCATTAGCTGCAGAATGATTTTCGTTTTTTCCCTGCCACAAAGGCTTCCTGGTTATTCTTTGAATCCATAAAGTGTACCCTTGCCTTCACTCTTCCTCTTCCCCAGTGTATAAGTGACCCTGGCTCACTCCCTTATCTCCTCAGGTCTTTGCTAAATAACACCTTCTCAGTGAAGCCCGCTGCTGCTGCTGCTAAGTCGCTTCAGTCGTGTCTGACTCTGTGCGACCCCATAGACGGCAGCCCACCAGGCTCCCCCATCCCTGTTCTCCAAACAAGAACCCTGGAGCGGGTTGCCATTTCTTTCTCCAATGCATGAAAGTGAAAATTGAAAGTGAAGTTGCTCAGTCGTGTCCAACTCCTAGTGACTCCATGGACTGCAGCCTACCAGGCTCCTCCATCCATGGGGTTTTCCAGGCAAGAGTACTGGAGTGGGTTGCCATTACCTTCTCCCTCAGTGAAGCCTACCCTGACCTATTTAAATTTGGAACCATTCTCCTTACCTCTGGTGTTCCTGATTTTTCTACTCTATTTTTGGCCAAAACATTTATCACCTTTAAAAATAATAACTTGCTTAATTATTTTTATGCATATTGTTTATTTTATTTCTTCCCTTTTGAAATGCACTATGAGGATAGAAGATATTCATTTGCTCACTGATATCTCACAGGTGTCTAAAAGAGTACACACAGGAGAAAATTAAGCAATATTTATTACATTAAGACATAGAACAAGGAAATAAGTGATGTGCAGAGTGACTTTTATTTATGTCTTTCATAAATATGTGTGTACTGTAGCAACCATGGCTATTCAACCATCCAAAAGTTACCGTCAAAATGTTTTGGAATAGATATCCTGAAATCTGTAAGAAAGTATCTATTCGCTGACAAACTTGCCTACATGAATGGGTCATTGAAACAGTGATAAAAAGGAAGGACTGAAAATATGTGACATATTGAGATTTTATTATATGTAGTTATTACATTGGTCTGCGACAGTTGATTCTACTCATGGAAAATCTGGACTGGCCTTCCAGTGAAGTTTTTCAGCTAATACTTAAATACGTGACTGATGATAGTATTCCTTTGTGCAGAATAGGCTCTTCAAATAATCTTATTGCTCACGCTAATAATTATACTATTTCCAATTTCCATCTGAAACTATAATTCTTTTTTTTTTTTTTTTTAGGTCACTCATTTTATTTTATTTTATTTATTTATTTTTTTTTTAGGTCACTCATTTTATTTTATTTTATTTTATTTTAATTAATTAATTTATTTAGCTTTATTCCATTTTCAAAACTAGGGAGGACCCTCAGATTTTAGTACAGAGGCAGCTAACATGTTTTGTTTCCCAGATCCTTGCCAACATAATAGAAACTATGGACCCTGTTCCCAAAAAAATGTACATACACACCCCAAAGGGCTTAATGGGATCATAGAAACCCATCAACAGATAAAGCTCATGATTTAGACCAATTTCCTGATTGTATAGATGAGGAAATTTACAGAGGGAAAGTACTCAGTCCAAGGTCACATAGCCAGTTGTAATAGATTGGATTCCAGCGGTACTTTTCCATCTGCTATTGTCACATCCCCAACTTCTTCCTCAAATTTTACCTTCCTTTTGAGTTGTCATAAATAGAATTATGGACAAGCAGATTTAACTGTAAAAGTTATTTGCTTCAGAATATTAAGAAACCAGGAAAGCTTGTACTGTCCTCGTCTCACCCCCATTTAATGTGTACAATGTAAATTGCAAATTAGGCCTGAAAATGTTTCATTTCTTAAAAAATTAGACTTCACACACTTCTAAAAATATTGCTCTTTATTTTAATGTTTCAAAGCAGAAGTCTAAATGATGTGACAGAGTTAACCATTTGGAGATATTTCTCTTATGGGTACTTGTTGTGTCTTACATATGTCCAAAAAAGAAAATGAAGTCATAAACTTAAAAGTTACAGCATAGTTGTAGCAAAAAAAAAAAAAAAAATTGAACTGGGATTTTAAATGGCTGATTTTTATCCCTGTGCTGTCACCAACAGGCTGAATGACCTTTTGAAGATCTCCTAAGACTCTTTCTTATATAATGAGGGAACTATAATAGAAAATTTTTAAATCCCAATTTAGCAGTAGAATTCTGTTTCTATAATAACTAATGAAAGATGCTAATGAACTTTCATTTTGGCCACATCTATGGGATGCTAAAAATTCTAGAGTTTAAACAAAATCATTGAATTTGTTCATCATGAAATGTGGAGTAATTTCATCCTTCAGACTCTGATCAGAATGATTCTGGTGAATGGAAATAAAGCAATTTGTTGTAGCTTTAACCACTTGTTAATGACCTCATTTTGACACGCATTATTCATTGAAGAAATGATACTTGTTCACTGTGTGCCATAAATTTTGCTAGATATTGAGGTTAAAATTATGAGAAAACCATACACTTTTTTTTCTTCATTGTGCTTATAGTCTAGTGACAAAGATCAGTAATAATCATCTAATCACCCATAATAAGTGTGTAGTTATAAACTGTGATAAATGCAATGGTGTGCCTAATGCCAAGAATATCTAACTGAATGCTTGACCCAGTTACTGTGGGTTAGGGGTAAGGCCAGATGCTCCCTTGGGGAAGTGATGTCTGAACTGAGATCCAAAAAAATGACTAGCAGTTATCAGAAGTGAGAGTTAAAGGAAAAGCATTCCAGGCTAAAGCATCAGCATGAGAAAGTCTAATGTGGTAGGAGGGGACCATGGCAAATCAGAAGACAGCTGGAGCCAGAGAAGATAAGGATCTAGCCAAGCCCACATCACAGCTAGCCATGGTAAAAATATTGGTCTTTATTCTAAAAATAAAGGGACATATTCAAGTATTGTAAGCACTTAATCTGGATTTCAGCTTATAGGTTTGCATGTTGAAAAGCTGTCTCTGCCTATAGAGTGGGAAACATATTAAAGAAGGGAAATAATGAAAATCAGGAACCAGTTAGTGGATTACCATGGAAAGAGGAGATGATTGTGAATACCAAGGTGTTGGTGAGGGAAAAAGAAAGAAATGGATTAATTCAAAGACTACACAGGAAGTAATATCAAAGCGATTCAGAGAGAGATTTCACAAGGCTTGGTGGAAGAGGAATGTGACCAGCAGAGCTACCAGGTGTTGCTTGTTGAAGTGGATTGTCTTGGTGGTTGATGGCTCCCTTGAATGCCACGATTACTGCAAAATGGCTGCAGTAGTGCTCAGTCCTCATGCACTTTGAGGGTACTTGGCCCATTAGTCCCTGACTGATGAGGGGACAAGTTTTCCTTCCTCCCTCCCTCCCTCCTTCCCTCCTTC